ATAATAAATCCTACTGCTAAAAATAAACTAATAATAATTCGATAAAAATAAATAAAAATAAAACTAAGTTATCTATTCTTTCACAGTGTAAGCCAATCATGTCATATTGGTATCCAGATTACTAATATGGACAGGATCAGTGACCCTTAATCACATCATCTTTGGTCACATAATTACATGGATCCAGGTCACAATCCAAAACCCAAGTACTGCATTATCCTCCATTATCACCACTTATGGAGCACATATGTAGGGTTTACAATACAACTAGTAGCTAGCTATTTTTATATTTTTTTCCTTTTCTCCTACTTGGATTCTTAAAGGTTCGCATATGTCAACTTTATTTATATTAGACTAGAATTAATCTACTTACTTTGTATGTTAGAGATCATTAATGTAATGACGTAAAAATGAAAGTTTAATAAATGTCTCGCATTTAATGCCTTTTGCAAAAAAAAAATAAATAAATAAATAAATCTAAAATTAATCTTAAAATTAATACTATATTTTAATTGATTTATAATAATTAAATTAAAATTTAATAATATACAGTAATTAATATAATCATATAATCAAAAAAATTAGAAAAATTCAAAAACCCAAATTTAAGTTAATTAATTTAAATTTAACGATGTACTTAATTTAATAATATAATTGAAAAAACGGAAAAGTTAAAAAATCTAAATTAAACTCTATAATTAATTTATTTGGTTATAAAAAAAAAACCCCCCTCGAAACCCGGAACCCGAAAAAAAAAAAAATTCGAAACCCAAAGAAAAAACCAAAAATAGATCATTCTTTGAATTGATGATTACTAGACTTATATACTTAATATAAACTAACCAGAAGAAAAATGGTTTATTATTTCTTGAAGTTGAACTTGAGTAAAATCTGAGATAGAATCTGCACTATAAGATCTAACTAGTTTAATTTTATCCTCCCCTATTGCTGAAAATAATTTATAAATATTTCTTGCTTTATGTGTTTTTTTACGCAGATTAACCAATGTAATTCCAGGAAAATATTGCATAATCTCCCTATATGCATTGGTTCTTGCTCTTTTCTCGGAAATTCTATTATTTGCTACAATTTCTTGAACTCTATCTTCAAATTTTTTTGCATATTGATACCAGCATTGAATTTCATTTTGGTTTCCACGTTTTGCATGCATTCCAGCACGAATAGCATTTTGGTATAATTGAATTAATGTTGGTATTTGTGAACTGGATTCAGCAAGATTTGAAAGATTTAATTCATTTTCTTCAACCGATATTGGTTCGCTTAATTCTTCTATTATATGTCGCATTTTTTTTTGTTCACGAGTAATAAACTGCTAAATATTATAAATATGATTAAATTATATTTAATGTGACTAATTAACATAAAAAAAAACTTACTGTTTCATTATCAGATGAATCCATAATTGTGTCATCCTCGTTCCCTTCATTATTTTCATTTTCCTCAGTCTCAATAATAATTCCTATTGCATTATTATTGCGGGAACGAGGACCAACATATGCACTATTACGTGAGCGTTTTCGGCGACGATATCGGCTATTCGTGGAATTACCATCGGGATCATTTGCATTTGTGGAATCGGGATCATTATTTGCATTCGTGAAATCGGTATCATTATTTGCATTCGCGGAATCGGTATCATTATTTGCGTTCGCGGAACCAGGATCATTACTTGCATTCACGGAATCGGGATCATTATTTGCATTCGGATCACTTGCATTCATGGAATCGGGATCGTTATTTGCATTCAGTTCACTTGCATTCATGGAATCGGGATCATTATTTGCATTCGGATCACTTGCATTCATGGAATCGGGATCGTTATTTGCATTCGGACCACTTGCATTCATGGAATCGGGATCGTTATTTGCATTCGAATCACTTGCATTCATGAAATCGGGATCGTTATTTGCATTAGGATCACTTGCATTCATGGAATCGGGATCGTTATTTGCATTCGAATCACTTGCATTCATGGAATCGGGATCGTTATTTGCATTCGAATCACTTGCATTCATGGAATCGAGATCTTTATTTGCATTCAGATCACTTGCATTCATGGATTCGGGATCGTTATTTGCATTCGAATCACTTGCATTCATGGAATCGAGATCTTTATTTGCATTAGGATCACTTGCATTAATGGAATCGGGTTCATTATTTGCATTCAGATCTTTATTTGCATTTGCGAAATCATAATTATTATCGGAGTGATCAAAATAAACACGTGTGGATAAATTATGAATATCATGATTACTAGTAAGATTATCGTCACCGAAAGAAACGTCAACGTCGTTATCATTATAAATACTATTAACTTGTCCGTTAGCATATTTTTCGACAATCTTGGAAAGTTTAATACTAGTCGACTCTATCTTTAATTCTAAGTCGGTTAGAGTTAGAATAAGACGATCCCGTTCTGTGTTATAATTTGCAAGGTCTCGGCGCTATAATTACATTAGGTATTATTAAATACATAGTTTAATTAGGCTATACAATATACGTAAGTAAAAGTTTAATATTTACCGTTTGACGTTCACTAATGATATCGTTCCAATATATTTGAAACCGGTCTACAGGTTCTTTCCCTATCTATTATAAGAATAATGGGGTTAGTGCGTTACTTTTAATAGTCATATATAACTAATTCCTCTTTTTATCGGAATTAGTAAGTATTTTTGAAGAATCTTACTTAAGGACCATACTGTAAATATAATGATCCTTAAATAAGACACTTCTGACTCGAACAAGTAAAGGGGGCGATATTCCTCTGCAGTAGGATTATATTCCCCTGCAGTAGGATTATATTCCCCTGCAGTAGGATTATCGTCCCATCTACTTGGGCGCCTGTATTATGAGCCATGGAGTGGATACCAGTCTGATAATACAGTAATTCTCCTAAGTCCGGACAGCAACAAACCGGAGTTACCCTTATATTAAAATAAACACACCTTTTTTTTCAAGGTCTCGAAAGTATCTATATTTAGCTCTTTTGCAGTTGTTAAAAACCGTTTATTCCAGATAGAGTTAAGAACTCCCCAATCCGTAGAATATGGAGGTGAAGCGGCTATAACATTACGATGAATATTTAAAAACTGACGATATGACTTGTGATTATAATTTTTCATATAAGAGATGAGATCTAGAAAGTTCAAGTATATCAGAACTAAGTTTTTTATGTATATTAAACTATTGCAAACAAGGTTTACCAGCATAACCAGGATAATAGTTAGGATCATTTACACCAGAAGAACCCTCGTTAGGATACTGAACAGAAGCATTCTCGCCAGAAGAAACCTCGTCAGGATACTGAACAGAAGCTTTCTCACCAGAACAATGAGCAGAAGCACTCTTGCTTGGATAATAATCAGAAACACTCATGGTAAATATAGTAATGTATAGTAATGTATGGTGATGTTCAGGATAAAGATAATAAATAAAAAACGCGTATTAAAAGCATTTAAATATCATTGTGTAATTTAGAACGCGTATCGGCGATCATTTATTTTTAGATTATCTTGCATGTTTATTGAATATTTTAATGGTACAAGCAGAGTTTAAGCTACTATTTGGGGATACAGAAAAATGCTCCCCGTGCAGCATCCTTACCGCACTCGTGCAGCACCTGTGCAGGCATGCTTTCGAGTGAAATTTCCGAATTATGTATAATTCACGTGATCGACACGTAACAAATTTCGAAATTGTTTATATTACCAATTAGGGAAATCGAATGTTATTTTAATAAACAGAGTATAAACAATGACGTTTAATATTGTTTATATCCTGTTTATATAATTCAAAATGGTATTAATGCATCTTGAAATACAACAAAATATCATTAAGTCACTTTGGCAACAAAATATTTGCAATTCAAGAAAAATTTCTTAACAATTTGGAATTCCTCTATGTTCTTGTAAACGGTATACCAGTTTATTAAATAAAACTAGTAAGATTTTTATTGGTCATTCTTTTGGTCATCCAAGAAAATTAACTGCTAAAAAACATCATCACATCGGAAAAATTTTAAAACACAATTACTTTACTACAGCAAGTGAACTTAAATTAAAGTCAAATTAGAAGAAAATAATTCTGAGCTTGAAATCAGTAAACATATTATATGTCATAAGCTTAAAAACCTTGGTTTTGTTTCTATTATTCCAAAAAAAGTTCCTCTTTTAACTCAGCAAGCAAAAAATTATTGCTTATTTTGGGCATATAAATATTTATTATTTGATTGGTAAAAAGTTATTTTTTTTGATAAAGCAACAATCCAAATGTTCAGTAATACTCTTTATGCATGGTCTCAAAATATAAAACCTATTGCACCTATGGTAAAGCATCCATATAAAATTTATATTTGGGCAGTGATCAGTATAAAAGTAATTTACTACATCCCTAAAGATGGGTTCCTAAATTATTTAGCATATAAAATTTTGCAGATCAATTATGTTCTTTTTGAAGAAATATAATTATTTATTCATTACTTTAATAGAAACATAATTCAAAAAACACTTGGATCAAGTGGTCTAAATTGCAAAAAACTTTTATAGATAGTTTTTTTTTTATTTTATATTTAAAAAAAAACTTTTTTAATAGTAAGGAACATTTGAATTATATCCTCATCCTTAATTTAGAAACTCATCTTTATACACTTCACATTAAATCTTGTAAACAAGAAAATGTATATCTAATTATTTTTAATTAAATCTTCAATTAGGTTAGCGAGATTACAATTAGAATTATAGAACATAAGAACTTACATTATATGTAGCATATAGTTGATTACTGATATAGTTTACCAGAATAGATTCATAGTCTGCTGCTATTACTGGGAATTGAACCTGTAACATTAGTACTGATGTACCAGTAATTTATCAATACATTATAGCTCCATTAGGCTTTATAGTTTTATAAAATAATATATACAAATATATATAAATATTAACCTTAATAAAGTTTACTAAGCAAGGTTTATATTAATATTTAATAATAATAATATGACTTTAGAGCATCCATGTTGACAAATAATTTTCTTATAGATAAATTTAGCAATTGTAACTGCTTTAGTATTCTTAATGACTTTGACTTCCAATTATTTAATCAAATATTCAGTTGCTATAACAATATACCAATTTAGTTTTATAATATTAATTTTTACTCAATTAAATTATTTTTTTATTGATATTGGATATATTTTCTTGTATTGTATATGTGCTTCTTGTTATTAACATATGTTACAAGATTTAATATAATTGACAATAGTTTTGTACAGATTTGATCAATAGTATTAACTCCTAACTTGATAATAAGCTGCTTCAATTTCAAATATTCAAATAAAATATTTTCATGTAAATTATACTGTATATGCCTCAGAAATACTAGTTTCTTTTTATAAAAGTGATATTTTTTCAAGTTTAATTTGAGATTAGCTTGTCAAAATCTTTTCAGAACTTCAGTAAGATATTATATATGCTTCTTAAATGTATTAGAAAATATATTGATATTATCCAAATACACTAATACATATTTGTCTTTAATGTTCTGAAATATGTGATCCATTAGATATTGAAAGATTACAAGTGCATTTATTAATTCAAAGAATATAATATTAAATTCAAATATTCCTTGTTTAGTAATAAATGCTGTTTTTTCCTTATCTATTTTATTCATTTCTACTTGCCAAGTCCAATGATAAAAACCATTTTGTTTTTTTCAATAAGTCCAATATTTCATCAATCCTAAATAAAGGATATGCATCCTATTTGATAACTTTGTTCAATTTCCAATAGTCAATATAAAATCTTGTTTTTTTATTTTTATTTTTAATCAAAACAATTGATAATACCTAAGAGCTAGATAATAATTAAATAATTCCTTATTGTATCATTCAATCAATTTTTTTTCCTACAAATTCATATTTAGCAGGTGATAAATAGTATAGCCTTTGTTTGATTGGTAGTATATTTTTAGTAACAATAGAATATATTATTAAATTAGTTTATTCAGGAGATTTATTCTCAATTGCTATAATATTCTGATATTTCTATAAAAAATATTTCAATTGTTGTTGTTATGTTATAGTCAAGTTAGGTGGCTCATTAATTTTTGTCTTCTTATATTTATTGTTTAGATATTAAACAAGTTCCAAGTCTCCAAATTTTTGTTGATATATGGCATATATATTTTTTTCACTTTTTAAATAATTGTTATATCTATAAATAATATTTGGTTTTTTTCAATCATATTGTTAGCGTGGAAAAAGATAGTAAAGAAAATATAAAGAAAATATAAAAAGTATAATTTGTATATCAGGTATAAAGTGTATATCAGGTATAAAATGTATATCAGGTATAAAATGTATATCAGGT